ATTGGCTGAGTGTGCCGGTGGGTATGAGAACTTGACTTTTACCAAATGTGATCAGAAGAACCATTTGAACAAGAATAGACAAAAGACTATGTCTCGTGGCGAAGCGACTTTCTTGATGGACTACTTTCAAGACCAAAAGGAGAAGTATCCCGGCTTCTTTTATGCTGTAGAGGTAGATTGTGAGGAGAAAGTTGCCAATATTTTTTGGGCAGACAGTAGGATGCGTGAAGATTATGCACTTTTCGGAGACTCTGTCTTCTTCGACACCACCTTCCGAACCAATAAACACTTCCGGCCATTGGGTATGTTGACCACTTATTTTCCTTATTTTTTTGGACAACGCAAACGGGTGATAGAGTTTAAACTTTAGGGTTTAGGGTACAAATAGTAGATATTAGTTTGTGTGTTGTGGATACTTGTCTTTCCTAGTTGTAATACTTGTTTCTGACATTATGATATTTTTTCTGGGTTGCTGGATATGTGTATGGGTTGTCTGGATATTTTTCTGGGTTGTCTGGATATTTGTCTGGGTTGTATGGATATTTGTCTGGTTATGCATTGTTTTTAATACCAAGTCTTTTGCAGGGATGTTTGTAGGTTTCAATCATCACCGACAAACTTGTGTGTTTGGCGCTTGTTTGCTATATGACGAGACAACTCCTTCTTTTGAATGGTTGTTTGAAGCATTTAGTCGGTGCATGAAGAGGAAACTCCCAGTGACCATCTTCACAGATCAGGACGCCGGTATGGCAGCTGCCCTTAGAAAGGAGTGGCCAGATGTGTTTCATGCTCTCTGTACTTGGCACATCTTGATGAATGCGAAGAAGAATCTTCGTAAGAGCAAGAAATTTTGGCATAAGTTCCAAAATCATCTTGCTTATCTTTTCTACTACGTCGACAGCGAGGCCGAGTTTGATGAGGCATGGAGCAGCATGGTTTCGGATTGTTTTCCCGGTAGTGAAACTGTCGATGGCCACCAATGGATGCAATATTTGAAGAAATTTCGTCATCAATGGTGTTCCTTATATCTGAGAGATCAATTCACAGCGGGAATGTTGACAACGCAAGCCAGTGAGTCGTGCAATTCACAAGTGCGACTCTTCTTGAAACCGAAACATAATCTCGACGAGTTTTTCATTCACTTTACCGGGTACGTTATCCAAATACTAGTTGGAAATTTATGGATATTACTTAGCCCCTTAAGGACATTTGTAGATTATTTTCTGGTATTTGTATGTGATGCTAGGATACATTTTTGTGTTGTTTGGATATTTTCTCTGTTTGTCATGGATACTAGTCTGGGCAATTTGGTTTTCTTCATACATGCAGTTTGTTGGCTGACAAAAGGCGCAAAGAGACTGAGTCCGACTATGATGCCTTACAATCAGCCCCTTACATAGTGTTGGAGAAAAGTTCCATCCTCCAACATGCTGCCAAGATCTTCACGAAAAATATCTTCCACCGGATTCAAGAGCAATATCTGGAAATTGAGGACTATCTAATTGAGCCTTGTTCAAGATAATAGGGATGATGGCTTCATTAGCTACCGTACATATAAGATGGAGGATGATGAGCGTAGCGATGAACGTGTCATTCTTGTCGATACTTCTACGGCCACATTGGTATGCGATTGTAGGATGTTTAGAACATTCGGGGTCTTATGTCGGCATATGCTTAAGGTGATGCGATTTCTTGGAGAGTTTGGGAACGATAGTATGAGAACTATTCCAGATCATTACATACTCAAGCGATGGACGTTGGAGGCGAGAAGGAAAGAGGTTGGTGATGGTGATGCTGATGCTGATGAGAAAGGCGATACTTCACATAGTCATGAGAATGAGACGGGAAAAGGAGATATAGCAATGAGGTACCGAGAAACCACTGCAATGTTTAATCAGCTCGCAACAAAAATTGTCAATGGCGGGATGAGAAAGTGTACAACAGGTGGATGGGAGCATTGCAGAAAGTGTGCAAGGAGGCAAACAAGGCATTGTCAAAGACTATAACTAGCGAGGACGGTAAGTGTATCGAATATTTTTTGTAAATTAGTATAAGTTAATATCATTGGACGGATTACTTAAGCCACTAACATTGTAGGGAATTATGTACCAAACAACTGGCCTCTCTCTCAAAGAGAAGAGTAATCCAAGGAAGCACGGCAAGGAACGTTATAAGTCCACGAATGAGAAAGAGCGTCGTCGAAAGAAGATTGTCTATGGAAAGAGATTGAAAGCATTGGAAGTGCTAGCACAGGAAAACCATTTTCAACATGATGACCATCTCACCGACTTGGAAGACGACCTTGCTGAATTTGGGAGTGGATATTAGTCTGTCAAACTCAGGATATTTTTTTAAGCAGGCTACGATATTTATCTACCTTGCTGAATTTGGGTGAGGATATTAGTATGCAATGTAGGGATATGTGTTTTGGTTCTACAAATATTATCTCAAACATTCGGATATTTTTTTTATATTTTATGTATTTGGTTGTGTGGGATTTTATGTATTTCCATCAAATATGCTCAGATTTTAGTTTGGGTGTTTTGGATATCAATTTGGGTCATATGATATACTTTAGTTGAAGGAAAGATATTCTTAATCTATCTTTGATAAACTAATAAACCGAGCAATAATTTAAACGACAATAGTGTTTACTTTTGTACAAATGTTACCAAAATAACACACTCCAACTTATACTAATAAAGCGAGTGATCAGGATAGAGTTATTGTCTTCTTTTCTCCAAGGACTTCCCAAAATGAACATAAACATCAACAGTAACAGTACAACATGAAACATAAGTTTCATTTAATCTCCCTTTTTCCTTATATGCTGCCCACTCCTTTGCATCGTCAAGTACGACATTCCTTACCTTGTTGTACTTCCATTGAAGGAGACTGGCTGCAATGGATGCTCGCTGGTGCTCGACGTGCTTGTCCAAGTGCCAAGTTTCCTTGTATTCCGATGGAATGTGGCCCGCCCAGTGCTCCAAGAACATGCACGCGAACACTCCACAATCATGGTTTCCATCTTGTTGAGGAACATCCGCAATGAAGAAGTCCCAATCATGCAAGGGAAAAATCGAGGTCGTACTTTGCAAGGAAAAGCAGCCCCATACTCAAAATATCAATTTCCCCATGGGAGAGTGATCCACCTTGGCCACTGCTGGCTTGGGTTTCTGGCTGTCCAGAAGGAAAGTCTTCTGACTCCTTAGATCAGCAGCGTAGACCCGGTAGTGTTTGTCCTTATGCACAGGGAAAAAAACCTGAAACATAGAAAACAATCATTTATTGTCTCGGACAAATATCCAATAAACCCAGACTAGTATCCAAAACTAACATTTCATGTATTCTGAGGCAAATCTTCAAACAAATCATTTATTGTCTCGGACAAATATCCAATAAACCCAGACTAGTATCCAAAACTAACAATTCATGTATTCTCAGGCAAATCTTCAAACAAATCATTTTGGGTCTCGGACAAATATCCAATAAACCCAGACTAGTATCCAAAACTAACAATTCATGTATTCTCAGGCAAATCTTCAAACAAATCATTTTGGGTCTCGGACAAATATCCAATAAACCCAGACTAGTATCCACAACCACGTAAATCAGTATCGAGATAGAATAAGGATTCACTTACATATTCTACTTTGTCCCATGCAACTTGTTTGAAGACTTGATTCCGCTGGGTCATTTCAGCGACCCCATTGAGTCTCTCCTTGGTCGGGGGCACATTCGTTTGAGAATTAAGTAAGGCAAGATTCTGTTTGCAAATTAAAATAATAGCTAATTAGTTTTAGAAAATTCTAAAAATTGTAAGGTGTTAGGGAAGAGCCTACTTACACCAAAACTGAACGGAAAGATAACTTTGTTCTTGTCACCGGCAAGTACTTTGTCGTTCAAGAAATGACCATAAGCCTCAATCACTTGTAGATTGACCCACTCCTTTCGCTTCAATGTCAACAGATGAAGACGAGCGAGAATAATTGAAGGAGTGTGCACCACCAAGCCCTTACCCTCAGGGGTACTGAACACGAACTCAACCATCAGACGAGCAACTGGGTCGAGCTTTGGCGACACATCCTTAGACAAATAATACACTGAAGAGGAAGCATATGGGTTCTTCTTCGACCTCTCGAACTCTGGGGTCTTCAGTGTTGCAAGCCATTCCTCAGGAGTGTAGCTGTAGAGACGGTCCCTCTCCTCATCAGTCATATCCCTCTGATCGGTGATAATCACATCAGGACTCCTCTCAGCGCTCCTATAAGCCGCTTCTACCAACTCCTCCTCTGAAGGCAACATTCCGGTGGAAGCAAGTTGAGAGAACGACTCCACCACATCTTGTTGAGGCTCAACTTCCTCGGCATTAGCAGCGCTAGTAGCCTCATGAGCTATCTGCAAAATGTCCTCAAAAGATGTATCTGGGAATGGGTAGTGAATCACCATAGGGACTGTCGGAACAACCAACTCCTCATCCGGTGTCTCTACAGTGTTATCAGCTTCATTCTCCACTTGTGGCTCGACCTGGTCCTTCTCTACAGTGTTCTTAGCTTCAGGTTTCTCCACTTGGTCTTCCACCACATCTGTTTGAAGCTGCTCTAGCACCTCTTCAACAGTATTCTCCACTCGGTCTTCCTTCTTTTCTATCAGCTCACCCAGTTTTGTTGCAAAATCCAGCAATTTTCCCATATGCCGGTCAATCCCAGCACCTAGTACCTTGAGCTGGAAGACAAACGAACATTTTGCGGGAATTAAAAACTGATATCCAAACTGCTCGTACAATTATCCCATGTACCCAGACTATTATCAGAATAGAGCGTACAAATATTCTACTTGGCAGAATTGATATCCAAACATAACAAACAAAAATATCCAAATGCATCAAATTAATATCCAAACATCACAAACCATTATTCATAACTGAAAATAACAACAAATATTCAAACATTATTCAAACATTATTCAAACATCACAAGCTGATATCCAAATGAAACCAACAAATATTCCACAACTACAAAGAAAAATCCGACTAATATCCTAAGCCATTCCAACATGGCATCATATTCGTGGAAAACAGTACAACCCCCCACCAAACAACGGAAAACAGTACAACATGGCATCATATTCACTCTTGCTCTTCCAAATTCTGGACAATCGTTTGGACCTTGTCCCTTCGAGCCACCCACTTTTCAATCATGCTCTCAGTGATTTCCTTCAATCCCTTAAGCTACACATATGTTGTGAAATATTTAGGTTACTTTATCGTCCAAGTCTACCATTGCATGATCTTAGTTAGGGAGGAAGAAAACATTTTACCTGCCCCAGCGAAAGGCTAGTCAAATCTTCATTCTCCCACCATTCCGAGGAGGGCAACGGTGCACGATCTGGAGGAGGAGCTGAACTGCTCGCAGCTGCTGCACTAGCTGCCGGCTCGAGCTGCCTGCGAGAGGCGGCTTCTTCCCTACTCAGCAGAGCGGCAGCTAGGTCATATCTTCCCCTGACTAAGGGGATAGATAAGGCTGCCCTCTCGACAGTTTGCTTCCACCAAAACCGGCAGCTAGGAATGCTCTTTGTGTGCAACCCGCCTAGCTTCAGAGAGTCCAACAGATGGAGCTGTAAAAAAAATTACAATTAATAAATGTTAAGTTCCATTTCTAGCAATTTAATCAACAAATATCCAGAGTCAACACAAACGAAATTCACTAGTTTTCATGCAATTGAACCAACAAGTATAGAAAAGGTTAGGACTTACTGTCAAGAAGTTGCAATCTCCGAGAACCCACACGCACGGCGATTTCAACCTTGCACTAGGTTCTTTTTTCTTGGCAGCAGTCAACTCTACTTTCAGTTCACGGACAATAAATGTGCACCAATCGTACACCCTCACGTCCTCAACACTCCCACCTAAGTATGGGGCGAAGTCCAGCTTGCTTTTCCGAGAAAATGTCGGTGCGAGCAACGAACCAGTAGCTATCAGCAAGAATTGCTTGACAGCAATTGCAACGGGTGGTCTGGGACCGTTGGCTGGGCAGGCCAACTCCCGCATCTTCTTGATAGAAACCATGCGAGCCCTGTTCGAAGTCATGCCAACTTCCTCGCTGAAGCTGTCAACCATCCCCCCCTCCACGTTCGTCAAATCAATCACAAACCCACCGAGAGGAAGGTCGTAGACACGTGCCACATCCTCAGCTGTGAAGTCGAAGACCTTCTTCGACTCTCCTTCCCCAAAAACAAAAGTACTGGTTTCTAAGTCATAAGCAGCCATCAAGTCATCCATGAAGAGATTGGGTATCTTCGGCATGCGAAGATCCAATAGGCCCCCGAATCCTGCCTTCTCGACTTGTCTCTTGCAGGCTGCATAGTATTCAGCATCTCCTTTCCAGTACTTAATAATTTTGCAGAGGGAATAGGTGGACCCACGAAATCTGAAATATGAGCCGGATGGACCCTCTCCCTCTCCATCATCATCTTCTTCCTCATCTTCCTCCTCAACTTCTGGAATAGCAGGTGGCGGCTGCCTTGATGGTTCTCCTTCACGAGATCTCGGTGCAACCATTTTCGTTCTCTTCATCCCGGGTTGTTCCTGAAACACAGTTATATATTAAGCAAAATATCCATAATCCTTGGACAAATAACTAAAACGCACACTTATATACAATACAATTATCGTAGTAAAGCAAAAGTGTATCCAAACGGAGATAACTAATATCCATGAAAAAATATCCATAATACCCAGAAAAATAACTAAAACGAACAGTTAAGTATCCACATTAACAGAACTGATATCCACACATCAGAATATGTATCAGTATTATAATCCAACGTACTAGTATCCACAATATTTCAATGAATATAATATATGCCCAGACTAGTATCCATACAAAATATGTATCAGTATTATAATCCAACGTACTAGTATCCACAATATTTCAATGAATATCATATATGCCCAGACTAGTATCCTTGGACAAATAACTAAAACGCACACTTATATACAATACAATTATCGTAGTAAAGCAAAAGTGTATCCAAACGGAGATAACTAATATCCATGAAAAAATATCCATAATACCCAGAAAAATAACTAAAACGAACAGTTAAGTATCCACATTAACAGAACTGATATCCACACATCAGAGCAGCCAACTATGAACGAGCACGAAGAGAGCCAGCGGCGAGGGAGGCCACTGACGACGACGACTCCGAACGCCGCGCGTGTAACTTTTCTTTTCGTTTATCGGGTGAAAGAAGAAATGCGAATTAGTGATATTTGAAAATTACACAAACAGTTACTGAGTTTACGGTCACTAGCCAAATTGGTTGCTGAGCTTTTAATTTTTTTAGTGAACATTTTGGTTGAAATTTAGACGGTTTGACATAGTAATCACTTCGTCTATTAGCGCGTTAGTTCATCTAACTTAATTATTAAAGGATGTATATCAATTCATAAACTAACTTTCGATAAGGAAAAAGGTATCCTACATGTTTTGAGTATTAGTGAATCGATTGGAGTTTGAATTCATGCTCATTAGTGTGATCTACTTAGTGTTTATTGGTCGAGAATCATAATAACCCGCAATGATATAAATCTAAACTCGCTAAAGTATATAAATTATCATTGTTATTTGCTTTTAATCAATGATATTTATACAATATATAGAATTCAAGAGATAATATTCGTCGGATGCATCACTATAACCAATAATTTTTTATTTTTAATAAAAATACAAGTTTGTCAATTTTAGCAGGATAAAAGTCAGTAACTAAATAACCAATTTTCAGCAGGATTCCAGGGAAAATATTCTCAAAATTCTGATTAGGGATTCCGGGGATTAGATTACCTTCCCGTTCGTAGCTCACAGGCTATTAGGTAAATTGTAGAAAATATTGAAATTTTGAGTTAATTACATTTGGATTAACTTATTATTGATTACCCAGGTTTTGGATCTCTCGCCTCTGACGCTGCTGACTGTTGCCAGAGTCCAGAGAGAGATAGAGAGGGCTATGGCGTTGAGATCCTCCGGTAGAAAACTATCCTTTGAGATCCTAACGAAGAGCAATTCTCTGGAAGAAGACCAATTACTTCTCCTCAGCCAATCAAGCCCCGATACCGCGAGATCGAGCCCGACGAACAACATTCCCAAGAAGAAGCGAAGGAGGAACAAGCACAAGAAGTCGAGCCCTCATGCCGATTCCTACTCCACAATCGCCGAGGATCCATCGGCGGCGGGAAGCAGCCTCGCGGGTTCAAATTCAAATTCCAATTCCGTGATCGAGTCGCCGATATCTGCAACGGGGGAGTTGCAAAATGGAAGCGTGTTCATGGAGGATAGGTTTAGCAGCCGTTACGGTGGAGGAGGCAGCGTGGTGTGTACTACACCAACAATCACTGTCGTCGAGTGTGTGTGCGATAACTCTACAAACAACGGCGGCAACAGCTATGTCGAGTTGAGGCAGCGGAATGTTGTAAGCGTAGGAGGAGAAGGAGAGGGAAGGAATGATGAGGATTTGCCTTCTGTTCTGAGGGTGATTGGAGAGACTACCGTGGAGCGCGAGTTGGAGGTCGTTTCTGATGATAAACCGCGAAATGAGCCGCCGCCGATGCCCAATGGCGGTTGCTTGCCGAGGTTGGAGACTGCAGAGTCATTGGATTGGAAGCGACTCATGGCCGAGGATCCTACTTGTAAGTAAACAGTTTCTGTAAATTATGTTTTGATACTTCAGAAGGCCATGAATGTTCATGAAAGTGGTGATCTTGTTCTGCTTATTTGAACCTTATTATCACAGGCCAGCTGATCCCATATCAAAAGGCTCCCTTTTGCTGTTAATGAGTGTTTATTTTGTAGGACCTTGTGTCTTATTCCATGCTGTTTACTTTTTTTCACTGTTACATTTGCTGCTTCAGATCTCTTTTCAGTGGAGAAGTCACCATTGAATTACTTCATGGATGAAATAGACGAAGGCAACTCATTACGGCGAACAACAACTCTTGGCAGTGAGAAAGAAAGGGAGAGGGTATATGACACTCTATTCCGCTTACCATGGCGATGTGAGCTGGTAATCCGAATTATCTTTTCTGGTCCCGGGTTTCAGCTTCTGTGAAGTCCTAGGTTACCTGTCTTTTTGATTTATAAGCCTTTTCATCCTGTCTTGTTTTAACACGAAAAGGAATTACTATTGCAGCTTATTGATGTTGGCTTCTTCGTGTGTTTGGATTCCTTCCTGTCACTGTTGACTGTCATGCCAACAAGGGTTCTGATGACTCTTTGGAGGCTTCTCAAGAGAAGGTTAGTCATAAATGTACTTGCACACATACATCAATTCTTGGACCAGTAAAAAGAGTGATTATTAGGCCAGGGCTTGTTCTATATTGCAATGATCATCATCAATTTCCTCTGAGTTGACTCCAAATGCTTTCTTCCCCCAGTTTCAAGTTATGCTTAGTCTTTTTTGAAGACAAGCTAAGATCTTTCATCTCACTGTTTACTATAGGGTATAGTCCAAATTAATTAAGTTGGACTAATCTGTCGAGGGATTTATGTGGCACTAGTCTGTGATTTTGATTGGTTAATGGAAGGCCTGAATTGCTAGATTTCGGGGTCACTTTTTGTTCTGCTTTGGAGCCCCTGTGATGTTTTTTTTCCTTTTCCTACTCAATTTAAGCCTCTTTAAGTATCTTCCTGTGATGGGAGAAGACTTGCTGGAATGTATCAACTAAATTGTGAAGGTATTTGCTGAATCAGTTAGGGATCAGGCCTTCTAGCCTTTAATAACTTGAAGAACCAATGTTTGTGTGTCGGCATGTTGATGGATATCATAGGATAGTTTTTTTTAACTCACTATTTTTGGTTTAATCTCTTGTTGAATAGATAGGTGCTCCATTTTGAGTTTGTTTGAATGATTTTATTGGATTTAGATGCAACGTTCTGGTTTGTATTTAACATAACTTCAGAGATAGGTTCGATATAGTTTATCATGACATACCTTTTTGTTTGGTGGTCTGGGTCGAAATTAGTGTTTATTTAACCATTTTGTGTATATGATTGTTGATTTGTCTTCCTGATCCCTGAAGTTTTCCATTTTGTTGAACATGATTATGCTTATCATTTCATGGGTGCACTAGGCATGCAGTAAATAATTCCTGGAAAATGATTTAACTTAAATCTTAATTTTGGGTGGATAAATCTTATGAAACTAATATTTACAAAATTATCTAACCGTGTTTATGGCAGGCAGTTCCAGAAGCTCTCTGCTGCGGACTGGTCAGATTTTGGCTGCTTTATTGTGTTGGCCTCTGGAGTCCTTCTTTTAGACCGAACAGGTACACTACCAGCTGCTATAGGTTTTGGGCTTCGGGTTTTTTGAAATCGGGAGGGGATAGTTTTGTGCTTTTGTTTGCTTTTTTTTTTTAACTAGTAATGCCAACTGCTGAAATTCTTAATTTTCTTATTTCAGATATCAGCTTAATATATCACATGATTCGTGGTCAAGGAACAATCAAACTATATGTGGTTTACAATGTTTTGGAGGTGAGATTTAAAAATAAGCATTATTTTCAGTTCTCACAGACTTCAGAAATTTAGATTTACTAATGATTTCGAACAGCTTAATGAGTGTTCCCCTTTTCATTTAAAAAACAAAGGGTATCAAAGATTTCGAAAACCATGTCTCTTTGTCCCAACCTTAGTTCAGTGGGTAGAGCAGAGGACTGCAGTAGACTTTAGCTGTCATCATAAGAAACCATGCCTCACAGTTTCAATGGTGGTTATAATTAGTGTTTATTTAGTCAGATTTATGGAGAAGTCAAATTTTAAGGAAAAGGTGTCACTTGGCATACCATAGAGCTTCACCATCAGTAGCCTAATGATTTATAATTTGGACTGAGCTGATTTTGAGTAGGATCAAGAAAGTCGGAGATGAACTTTTGCCATATGTGCAGATATTTGATAAATTATGCCAAAGTTTCGGAGGAGATGTATTTCAGACATTGTTCAATTCTGCTGAGGGTCTTGCTAGCTGCCCACCAGAAACCAAAAGATTCTGGATTTGGAGATTTCTTGCAGATCAAGTCTTGGCAATGGCATTTTCCAATATCCTTTATTGATGCCTCTGTGTTTTCATCCACATTTCCGTTTTTTTTAGTTAGTTTTTTTATGAATAGTTCATTTGTTACATTGTTTCCTTGACTATTTTATACTTCTCCATTCTTTCCTTCTATTAGCTCAGGCAATTACTTTATCCACATGCATTGTTGCTCACAATAATGCATTATTGGCTTTGCTGGTATCAAATAATTTTTCGGAGATAAAAAGCAATGTCTTTAAGCGTTTCAGCAAAGAGAACATTCACAATATTGTATACGCTGGTGAGTTCCTTCATTATAATCATCTGCATTTTGACACCTTTTTTTGTCGTACCTTTTATTGCCTTCAATCTTTCAAAGTAATAAGTTCCATTCTAATGGGAAGGCATTACTCCTTCAGTCCTTTCATCCTTTGTGCTGATTATAGCAGTCGAATGTCATTGAACCCAATTTCATGTTTAAAGTTTAAACATTGATGACTTTTCAAGTGATTGTCTAACTTTGCAGTAACGTCCTTACCTATTGCTTTCCACCAGATTCAGTGGAGAGATTCCATATTACAGCATTTCTACTGTTTGTTTTGGCTCAAAACATCCTAGAAGCCGAGGGTCCATGGTTTGAGAGTTTTGTTTATGTGAGTCACTTCAGAGGTTACATACATAATTGAAATTCCTATAGGGCTTTCATTATCTAGTATTCTGATCCATTTCCTTCCCCGAACCTGGTTTCTGATTGCAGAATGCACTCTTGGTTTTTGTATGTGAAATGTTAATCGACATCATAAAGCATTCATTCCTTGCAAAGTTCAATGACATAAAACCTATCGCCTATTCTGAATTCTTAGAAGAGCTGTGCAATCAGGTACCCTATGCTTTGTATATTGTGGTTTTGTTTCAGAAGCGGAAGTTTAGTCGTTTTGCTACTTGTTCCTTGCTCAACCCATGTCGTTTGCTTTTGCAGACTCTAAATATTCAATCTGGGGACAAAAAGAAGATTCTCACTTTTATACCGCTGGCACCAGCATGCGTAGTAAGTCGTGATAGAAGTTTCCCCTCCTACTATGTTTACAATTGAGTGCTGCTCATATTCATCACCAAATGGAACAGTTTGTCTTGGTTCTGTTGGGTTAAGAGCATTAATCTATTGTTTGCAGGTCATCCGAGTGCTCACTCCAGTATATGCAGCTCACCTACCGTACAGCCCACTCCCTTGGAGACTCTTCTGGGTATTCCTGTTGACTTCCATAACCTTTGTCATGCTCACAAGCCTGAAGATAATGATCGGTATGGGACTGCAAAAGCATGCCTCTTGGTATGTAAACAGGTGCCGCAGAAGGAAACACCATCTTCACTCCGAGTAATCCTGGCATGGAATAAGTAGAGAAAACGAAATGGGTGAGATATCACACTCCACTCCTTCCAGCTCCACTGCTGTCATGAGTTATAACGGGAGTCACCTCAAGTTTTGCCAGAACAATCTTTCTTCTCCATTATAGCCAGCTCGCTGACTCAACGCTGTCTATGATCGGAGAGAAGTTATCCCGTCACTCGAGCTTGCCTGTATGGTAAAATTTTGTTTCAATCTCGTGCTTTCATTTTCGACTCGAGAGAGCACGAAATCTTACAATGTAATCATAATGAAGCCTCCTGCATTCTCAAGAACCTCAAGGGCAGCTAGCTTCCTCTGTTTTTTGTGTTTAATAGTTGGGACTTGGGAGTGTATGAGCTATATTGATAGAATGAGCATATGCATAGAAATAGTTCAGCCCTAAAGGGGTTAAAGACACATTTGGTCACTGAGATTACAAAATCGGGACATGTTTAGTCACTAGAAAAAATTAATATCAAATTTGGTCACTACAATTACTAAAACTGGACACATTTAGTCACTCGCCGTTAGTCTCCGTCCAACTCCGTTAATGAAGTCCGTTAAGTGATGATGTGGCAAACAGAATTGCCTAATCAGCCGGATATAACCCAACAAAAATAAAACCCGACCCGCCACGTCATTATAACCCGCCACGTCATTTAAAACAACCCAACCCATGACCCAAGCCCATCCAATCCTTCTTCCTCCTTCCTCTCACCGAGTAATTGATATTGTTCCTTCTCGATTGCCAGCAGCACATTGATCATGTCTTCTTCAGCTCCTTCCCTTCCAGGCTTAAGGTGTTCATCGATGATACGCTCGTAGAAAGTGTCGAGCTCATGGAAAACTCTTTCAATCCTTGCTTGATGACCATTGAATTTGCCAACAATCCAACTAAATGGTCGAGGGAAACACTCCTCCCCTGAAATGGTTCCCGAAACAACCTCAGCTTCATGAACCAGTTCATGAAACCTGCCTTTGTCAAAGTCGCTCCAGTTGTAATTGTACCCAAAAGTCACCAACCCAACACTCCCATTTGCCAATGGCCTGAGAACCCACACAAGCAAGCACGAGCAACAATAAGAAGAAGGTAGAAACGCAGAATTAGTTGAACTGATTGTTCCGCCTGACGTCATTTTCCGGCGGGAGAGGGAGGGGAGGGTGGGTATGGGTGCGTCGCTATCGAACCTGACGGAAGGTGCGAACGGCGCCGCCATAGGGCCAGGGCTTGGCGACATTCCGGAGAGCTGCGTGGCCTGCGTCTTCACCTACTTGACGCCGCCGGAGATTTGCAACCTCGCGCGCCTCAACCACTCGTTCCGCGGCGCGGCGTCGTCGAACTCCGTTTGGGAGAAGAAGCTACCGAGGAACTACCTGGATCTGCTCGATTTGTTGCCTCCCGACCGCCACAGGGACTTGTCGAAGAAGAAGGACATCTACGCTCTCCTCTCCAGGCCCGTCCCCTTCGACGACGGCAACAAGGTTTTTTTTTTTACTTTATTCTCTGTCGATTCGATTTCCCTTATGTGTGGATTGAATTCGTTTTGATGTCTGGATTGAATTCGAATTTGGGGAAAGAAGGAGGTGAGAGGAAGGAGGAAGAAGGGTTGGGTGGGGTTGGGTCATGGGTTGGGTTGGGTTGGTTTAAATGACGTGGCGGGTCGGGTTTTATTTTTATTGGGTTATATCCGGCTGATTAGGTAATTCTGTTTGCCACATCATCACTTAACGGACTTCATTAACGGAGTTGGACGGAGACTAACGGCGAGTGACTAAATGTGTCCAGTTTTAGTAATTGTAGTGACCAAATTTGATATTAATTTTTTCTAGTGACTAAACATGTCCCGATTTTGTAATCTCAGTGACCAAATGTGTCTTTAACCCAGCCCTAAAGTGTACAAATTTAGTTTCCACCTTTACGTGTGTTTGGGGTTGGATGGTGCTATAGCTCTGCAACTCCTTTTATTTTACGATTACTTGGGGGTTGGTCCTTCAAACATTCTCTTACCCAACGAGTCAGAGCATACCCAACTATTCTTTCGTATTGGTGAGATTTAACGATTACATTTACAGAATACACAGATGAAAAGGGAAAGAAGGAAGGGAAAAAAAAAAAAAAAAAACAGGGGAATAGTATTCCCTTTTTGAACAAGACCCCAGAATTAAAAGTTAAACCCTCTGCACAAAATTATGGAAGGAAGGAGAGGAGGATCTGGTCGGGAAGCCGCCGGGCTAGGCGGCGCATCTAAACAAGTTAACGACGATGTCGGTGGTGATCTTCTGGCCGTGCTGGACGAGAACCCGGCGGCGCTTCCCGGCGAAGGCGAGCAGGACCAGCACGGTGATCCAAGTGACCATGACGGCCCTGCTGGCGACGACGAGAACCAAGGAGGCGAAGATGAAGCCGGCGGCGAGGACGAGGGAGCTGTTTAAATTCGGGGAGTAGGCAGCAGCAGCAGCAGCGACGATCACGATGACAGCGGAGACAGCGAATACGATGAGGGAGAAGAGCAGCACAGCTGGCGTGGCTGCTGTAGTTCGAGGAGCTGCTGGTGATGGTTTGGGTAGCAGCGGCGACGGCGACGGTGGCAGAGTCATTGAAACGTCAATGGCTGGATAATTGAGGACTTGAGAGAGAACGAGAGAGTGGAAGGGGAAGTCGGGAAGAGGAAGGGAGGAAGGTTCATGGCTGGCTAGGTGGGGGATAATTGAGGAGAGCAAAAGAAAGGGAAAGCATGTGCTTCCACATGGACAATTTTGATCGTGTGGGGACTTTGGGGTAGCTGAGCAGAATCGATGCAGAAAAAAGTTTCAGAATTTAAATTTTTCCTTCGGGTAAATTACACGTTTGGTCACTCGAATTATACAAATTTTTCACGTTTGCCACCCGAATTACTTTTCTTTCTGATTCGCCACTAACTTTACGAATCGTTTCATCGTTAGTCACCGACCGTTACATTCCGTTAAATTTGTCCTATGTGGCAGTCAACCATAAAGTTTGACAGTTAACTCGATGACGTGGAAATTAAAAATAAATTTTTTTTCCACCTCATCATTCCACCTACTTTGTTTACATGATTTATCACATTAATTATTTAATAAAAATTAATTAAATTACAAATATTAATTATCAACCACGTCGTCTAAGTTGGATCATTTCGTGGTTGGGACGTACGATCCGGTGAAGGATTTGTGGACTCCCGTGACCCAAAAAAGGACGTGGGAATCGGGTTGAAGTACAATTGTGGAATGTATTAATAATTTAATATATTATGCTTCCAAGATGTTTTATGATAAGGAGACTAATATTGAATTCGATGACCTCAAAAAAGGGCTGGGCTTCCCTCCAGGTAAACTGCTGCTGACGCGTCGCTGTCACCAGTGCAGATCCCCTGCTGCTGACTTTCCGTTGCTTCCTCATCAGCTTTTGGGACAGGGAATCAAGCCTGTTCTGAGGTGCAGATGAGCTCCCGAGAGGGGATTTTGTTGAGTTAGTATAGTAGAGAGACCTCTGTAAATTAGTTTACCAAGTTCTAATTAATTGCTCAAAAGCTCCATTGAATTGTGACAGCAAATTTGCGTGGTTCAAGGATATTGACGATCATGGGACGGTGCAGAAGAGGGTAGCAACCATGGATATAGCGAACTGAACCTACAACACGCTCGACGCTGTAAGAGACGGGGACGGACACGGTGCACACGAGCCTTACCCTGAGTATAATGAAGCAGAGTCATTAACAGAGCATGTGTGGTAGAGGCAGCAATGGCATGAAGAAGCCAAACACGTATTTACCCTTCGATATGATTCCCCCTTCAGGATATCACCATCCATGTGAAATCCGAGAACCACCGAGCCCAGCGTCATCAAAACGACAACATTGTAGTGGTTGAACCGCTGCCTCACTATAAGGAAAGCGCAGACGAGGGAAGTCACCGAGACGGGAGGTAGGCAGTTCCAACAGGAGGCCCAAAAGCCCAATCACGGCGGCAAGCCGCCTCATGATGAGAAAACGATGGGGAGGATTAGGATCGGGAAGCCTGCCGTGAAAACTCAAAGAGCCACTGTTTGTGGCCGCCGTGATTGAAGTACATTCTGGAGAGCAGTTGGCCTCCAACTGTGCCGAAGGCGAGTAACGAGCAGTTTAAGAGGACCAGATTTGTGTTTCTTCTTCCCTCGTGATGTTTGCTTGCTTCTTCGTCCATGTTAGAGATTTTCGTGAAAGCTCTGTATCACTCATTCACACCTGAGAAATGTGGAAGGGGAGATTATTTTACAATGTCCATGGGATCCAAACGGGAAATGACTTGTTGTTATTGGTAGTATTGGTTGTTTTGTTTTAATGGTACATTATAAATTGACAAGGTGTTTTAACTAATTTTTATTAAATAATTAATATGATAAATTATGTAGACAATGAACGTTGAATGATGATGTGGAAATATTTTTTTTTTAAATTTCCACGTCATCGAGTTAACGGTCAAACTTTATGGTTGACTGCCACGTAAGACAAATTTAACGGAATGTAACGGCCGGTGACTAACGGTGAAACGATTCGTAAAGTTAGTGACTAATAAGAAAGAAAAGTAATTTGGGTGGCAAACGTGAAAGATTTGTATAATTCGAGTGACCAAACGTATAATTTAGCCTTTTTCCTCTATCAAATTGCTCCATCAAAGGTCTAACTATTTCAAAACAAAATTATTGAGTTGAATTAATTTGTTACTTCTCATCTAAAAGGAAATTCTTTTGGTCAACTTATCAAAGTACAAAACTAGTTTTTTTAAGAGAGAAAATTCAAAATTTTGATCGAGTTAATATTTGTTAAGTTTTTTTTATAGTAGGATCAATTTAGGGTTAATTCCACATTTGCACTACATAACTTTCACAAAGAAAACGTTTGCAATAACAATGACATAAAATTTTCAAAAGATATCTTTCTGAAGTGAACCATAATTTGTGAAATTGTATTATATCTTGATTGGGACACAGAAAAATCATGTAAACTTTGTATAATTAGGTAAAACGGTCCATCGACAACATATCGATTTCTTTTTCCTGCTTCAATCGGGTGTTATACTTATATGTTACATGTTGAATACACTTTTCTATTTCAGTATCGACATTGATATTCTTTCGACATGCTATCGATTAAATTATATTCACACACCATAGCATCAACACTTATTTTTGTGATGCCATTTGCGGGCAGCTGGCCTTTGGTAAATGAAATTTGTACATCTGTGATCTAACCTCTAATGAAAACCGTCCACAAAGTTTATTATGCAAAAGTAAATCTAACCGTTAAACATAGGAATATAGCAAGTGTCACCATACTATGAGAGTCAGTGACAAAGATATATATAATATCCCTTCCTAGCCGTAAAATATAGTTTTTATAAGAGTTTATGGTTTCAATGACACAACACAAGTCACAATGTTTAATTTGCCATGAATATTTCATCCATACCTTGAATTTCACCGGCATTACCGACATCTTGGTAGGTTTCGAAGCAAGAGCAAGGCCATGTAGGTAATTTTTTTCATTCATCCATCCATTGAATCTAACCAACTACAGACAGAGTTCTTTGTTTAAACTAGCTCGTCATTATGCTACAATGCTGATATGATAGAGAGATTGAGCTTTGATTAGATTCTATCATCTTATACATGCACTCAGAAAATCAAAGTACACCGTTTCATGTCCATATATGACCTAGAACAATGAAAACTCTTAAGTATACGATTTCTATCTAGGAAACTGTAAGTCTAAACAAACATAAAACTTGTTCATCATGGAAGAAGATTCTCAAGGGGGCTTGGGATTTGCGAAATGGCCTGCTTTAATAAAGCTATGCTGGGGAAGTGGCTCTGGCGTTTTTCTACGGAAAGAGGGAGTTGGTGGAGAAAATTGATTAGCTCTAAGTAGCCAAATAAGAATTCAGATTGGTGCACAGGGAGGAGTAGACAAGGTTTCGTTGGATCGTTTGGGCTAACATCTCTAAGGAGTATGATGCTTTTTGGAATATGGATAGCATTGATCCAGGAAATGGAGCTTGGGTTTCTTTGTGGTATGACAGCTGGATCCCTGGGGTGGTGCTCGCTGATTCTTTTCCAAGAGTTGCTGCCGCTACGAGCGTTCCGGATGCCAGGGTCTCTGATGCCTTGTCCCTCTCAGGTGATATTGTTTCTTGGCAAAATCCTTTATTTACTAATCTTAGAGGGGGCTGAGAGGGAGAGATCTAATTTGTTGAATTTGCTTAATACTAGTGGTTATGGATGTGTGTCCTGTGGGCCTCCTAGGCCTGTCCTGGTTACCAAACCTGGAGAGTTCTTTTCTGTTCGTTCTATGTAAAAGTACTTAGCGGGGGAGTCTTTCAAGGGTATCCCAAACTTCCTTGTTGATTCAGTTTGGAGGCCGATCGTTTCCAACCAAAATCTGCTCCTTTATGTGGCTTGTAGCTCACAAGAGTATACTCACGATTGATAATCTAAAGAAAAGGGATATGTCTCTTGCAAAATAGATGTAAGTTGTGCAATATGGAAGAGGAGACGATTGATCACTTATTTGTGCGGTGCGACTTCAGTAAGGAGGTGTGGGATAGAACGAAGAGAGCTTGTGGAATTGTAGAGGCTACGATAAGGGACATTGTTCAAGTCATTTCTAGGTGGCCTATCGAATGTTCTGATAATGAATTGAGCTGGTTTCGATATGGTGTGTTTGCATGCAGTGTGTTGGCAGATTTGGCTTGAACGGAAACAACAGAATTTTTAGGGAAGCTCGTCTACAAGCCAAGTTTGTTGCCCGGAAAGCTCTTAGGGACGCTATGGAGTGGCCTATTGCAAGTGGCAAAGTGGATAAAGCACAAGGGAAGCGATGTCTTGAGGAGCTTTTGAGTAGGATCTAAGCGTTCTTTGGCTTGAGTTCTGCTCTCTCTTTCTCGGCTAGCATTTGTGAGATGCTTCTGCGGTTTTGTTCAGGTGCCTTTTCCTTGTTGATTCGGTTTGGGTGAGATGGGGGTGCAGCGTCCATGGATGTCTGTTTGGGGGGTCTGTGTTTCTGTTTTGTTTGAGTGGTCAGGGTCTTCTGTTGAGGGTTGGCCTTTAGTTCTTTAAGCCTTGTGCCCTTTTTTATTTTGGCTGTAGAGGGGTCTGGTCCTCCTAGCAGCATCTTTCTTTCTTTTTCTTGTTCTCCCGCTTGGGATCAAGCCTTTTTATCCATTTTCTCCTTGTAGCTTTGTTGTCGTTGTTTTGTGAGTTTATTTTAGTTGTACTGTACTTTTTGTGATCTTGGTTTCCTTTAATAAATATCACCTTCATAAAAAAATTGAAGAATTAAACTGAAAATAAAATAAAAAATAAGTAAAAATAATAATAACGCGGCCTACCAGGCTCGAATCTTGTACCTTTTGGCTGCAATTCAACTATAAATCCACTAGATTATAAAAAGATTATGTCAACAATGTGTCACTCGGATTTTAAATATATTTAACGTTGATTTTACACATAATTCTCAAAAGTTCATAGGACTTTACACGTAAGTTGCCCCCCGAGAGCTACATAGCTCCGCCCCTGAGCTGGCAGGCACTTGATGAAAGAC